TTTAAGGCTTGTGGACTTCAACTCCCAGAATCCCTCAGCCGGCTTTGCCTTGGGAACCTTTAAGGCTTGTGGACTTCAACTCCCAGAATCCCTCAGCCGGCTTTGCCTTGGGAACCTTTAAGGCTTGTGGACTTCAACTCCCAGAATCCCTCAGCCGGCTTTGCCTTGGGAACCCTTAAGACTTGTGGACTTCAACTCCCAGAATCCCTCAGCCGGCTTTGCCTTGGGAACCCTTAAGACTTGTGGACTTCAACTCCCAGAATTCCTCAGCCAGCAAAGCCTTAAAAGTTCCCAAGTCAAAGCAGGCTGAGGGATTCTGGGAGTTGAAGTCCACAAGTCTTAAAAGTTCCCAAGTCAAAGCAGGCTGAGGGATTCTGGGAGTTGAAGTCCACAAGCCTTAAAGGTTCCCAAGGCAAAGCCGGCTGAGGAATTCTGGGAGTTGAAGTTCACAAGTCTTAAAGGTTCCCAAGGTTGGTGACCTCTGAATTCTAAAGGATCACAGATACAAATATATTCAGGAAAAGGATGGTGAATTCAATCACGATGATATAGATTATTTGAAAAAAGGAATAAAACCAACCTGCACTTTGGTTGTGGCATGTTGTGGTGCGTAGAATGTGTTCTTTTTTTTCCTTTGTACAAAAACAAACTTATGCCTGGTTTATTTTTTCAGAAACATACAGCTTTTGCGACTTTTCCCAATGAAAATGCAGCTACTCAGGTGTGTATTGGACATTTAAACTTCCTCCTTCCTCATTGATTTCATTTTCATACTTGTATACTGCCCACACAGCAGAGTGAGGTGCCCTGGTGCATTTCTACAGCAATGCTTTTATACATGAAATCTAATGTGAAAAATGATTGCTTGACTTGTGAACTTCTATGTAAATGCAGGCTGGTGCTTGATATGCCTTCCAGATGATAATTGAATTTTAGACACTAGCTGTCATGGGATGTTGGAAGAGCTATTAAGTACTTATTCTAACATTATCATATACAGGTAGTCCTTGGCTTATGTTCATTTAGTCAGTGACCATTCAGAGTTATAATGGGCTGAAAAGATGGTCTGAGGGTCATCGATAACCCTAACTCATTCTTCCTAACACCCGATTTCAGCACCCTCCCAACTATTAGCTAAGATTCCCACTTGTTTTCACTTAATGACTGATACATTATGGGGTTACGATGTTAACATGGACTGCCAAGGATTGCCTTCACTAAGTGATAGGGTCACATGTTTTCATGCTTTACAATTTCATCGCTTAGCATCAGTCATTTTGGTCCTAGTTGCTGTCATAACCCAAGACTGTCTTTATTCCATATTTTTTCTTATTTAAGAGTGCACAATAGCACTAATTGTGGTGTCATTTTTCTTCTATTCATCTCTGATCCAGCTTTATTCACATGTGGCTAAAAATATTGGTACCCTTCAACTTTTCTCCAAACTATCTCAATTAGTTATGAAATTAGATGAAATGGATACAGGTAAATGGCATTTAGCAATCTTTACTCCATATTGTAGTTATTGCTTCAAAAAGGTGTGCTATGAAATCTTAGGTGTAGTGGTACCAATAATTATGTCTGTGGTATTTTCAGTTGTTCCATTATTTACACCAATATGTTAAGCCATAGATCACAAGCAAAGTGTCTGTTCTATGGAGTAAAAAATGTGGATGTCATTTACTTATGTCAGTTTCAACATATTTCAGAGCAAATTAGGGTTAGAAAGTGGAGGAGTACCGTTCTTTTCTGTAGAGTGTTGTTGTTGGTTTTTTTGCTACAGTGCTCAGTTTTAGGCAAATTAGAAGAGGAGGAAAATGAAAAGCTTAAAAAAAATCATTGATCCGTTTCTTTTAAAATAATATTGGTTCGTCTAGCTTATTGTTGTATTCTATTTATTTAAGGCTTTATCAAAACTACATCAGCTCAATCTTCTAGGCCACACTCTTGTAGTTGAATATGCAAAGGATCAAGAGAGTGGTTTTGCAATTAGCGAACCTTCTGAAAAAGACAAAAGGTATGTAAACATTTTAAACTCAGTAGCTGTATAACAGCTTGAAAACTAAATACTGCAGATAGTTAATAACATATCCCTTAACACATACACACGCACACACTTACACACACACACCCTTCATGTGATTAATATGTAAGGATCCATACTGTTTATCCAAATCATATTTTCATTACTGCTAATAATAATAATATAACTAGTACTGAAGTTAAGTGTCTTTTTTCAGTTAGTGTTTTTATCGCTGGTCTTATAGTCCTGATGATACCTGTAAACATTCAAAGATCACTTATATTTACAGGAATATTTTGCATTGATTGATTTAAAAATTTGAGCATAACAAATTTAAATAATGATTTGGATATTTGATTAATATCTCTCAACTAATAATTTCATAGAAATAGCGTAACTTACTGATGTAGAGAGAGAAAAAAATTATACAGACTGGAATAACATGAATGAGAAATTTAGAAATTTTGCTTGTTGAATGAATGTTAGATTAAATTCAGCCTGCCATATAATGTATTCATTGTTTATTGCTGCTATTGTTTAGTCTTGAAGAGCCTGTCAAAGAAGAGAAGGGGCAAAAAGACCTAAGCTGTCTCAGAATTGAAAGTGGAGTTGCTCCTAGCCATGGGTTAGTACCTGGTTGTGATCATGTGTTAAGATTACCTCACTGTAACCTCTTTGAATGCATGTAAGCAAATTTGAAATCAGTGAAGGACTCCGATTGTTAGCTTTGCAGATCAACCACTTTCCCTTATACCCTTAGAAGCATAATATTTTCCAGAATCATTCTACCTTAACATTTACATAGGATTTCCAACCACCCCCCCTTTCTTTGGATAAAACTTGTGTTAGGTCTAAAAGCTGGAAAGTAACAGAACGCGTACTTCCAGAAATCATCCTTGCAATCCACCATTAGTTGATTTGGTATTCTAATGCCCCCAAATTTAATTTAGGCAAAGATGTGTTAAGAGTATGCTGAGTCCTGATTTTTTCCCCCCCAATACAGTTCCTTTTCGGCATTGCCATTTTACATGGGTTGAGGTCTAACTTGACAGTGCTTGTGTACATCAGCACTAGAACATACTAAATGAAATATTAGCATGCAGTGGTTAGAGTGCAGTACTACAGGCTACTTCTGCTGATCACTGACTGCCAGCAATTTGGCACATCGAATCTCACCAGGTTCAAGGTTGACTCAGCCTTCCATCCTTCCGAGTTGGGTAAAATGAGGACCCAGATTGTTAGGGGCAATATGCTAACTCTGTAAACTGCTTAGAGGGCTGGAAAGCACTGTGAAGCAGTATATGTCTAAGTGCTATTGCTATTATATATAGAAAATATAGGGCAGCGTTTTAGAAATTATCCTTCATTTCAAAAGTAGCGTCCATGTGGTATTGGAAAGACAAACACAATGTCTCCAAAACTAACCATACAACCTGTAATGTTTCTTTTAAGTATGTTGGCAGGCTATTGGCTGTGAATTTTAACAGGGTTACATAGAAAAATGGTAAAATTGCAATAGAGAGATACAGCATCAATGAAGCAGATAAATAAATAAATCCAAGACTATTTGAGGCCAGACTGTGCAGTCTGTGCAAATGTATAACCTTGAATATTTAATGTGCTTAATCAAGTTAAGACACCAGTCCAGAAAGCAAGAGACCATGAGTTCAAGTCCTATATTAGTCATGAAACCAACTGGGTGACCTTAGGCCAGTCACTCTCTCTCAGCCCAACTCACATCACAGGGCTGTGGGGGAAATACAAGGGGGAAAGTCTCCTGGATATGTTTGCTACCTTGAGTTATTTGTAAAAATAGTAAAAATTTGTAAAAATGGGTGGAATATAAATAAATATTCATTGTTTTCTACAGGTTAACATTCCCTATAAATTCGTGCCTCAAATATTTGTACCCCCCACCGTCCAGTACAATCTTAGCCAACATAGCAAATGCTTTGGCAAGCGTTCCTAAATTCTATGTACAGGTAAGTATATATAGCTTCTTCTATTTGAATATAATATTCAACAGTATTGACTGCTTATTCCCAGGTGTGGCAAAAACATTACTTCTGGGTATTAACTGCTTAAACGTTAGTTTTTAATGAATTATTACTTTAAGGGACAAATTTAACTGGTGGAAAAACCTCCGGTTAATGTGCATGTTCAGTATTTGATAGAAGTGACAAACCTATTTTCTTTGGGAACAAAGTAGAGATCATTGCATTCCTTCTATACCTTTGCTGTCTTTGGTCCTCCAAAATGAAGGTTTCACACTTGGCTATAATATTGTAGCTCACACAGATGTTAGAATTCCTTTTCAGATCTAAAGGAATCTTCTGTAGGATGTTTCTGATCTACAATCTTTATCTCTGTTTCTATTTATTAATTGATGCTTCCTAATTTATTGCTAAGAAACACTTCTTTTTTTCAGTATTGATTGGTAACTTCCACATTTACTCAAAGGGAAGATGAATCTGAATTTAAAATGATCCATTCCAAAAACAAAGAGCAGTTTACCCTTTTCCCCACCAATAAATATAGAGAAAAAAGGTGTATTACCCAGTTTTTCTGTCCTGTGAACTTAAAGGTTACCAAGGCTAACTGAATCCAATCCTTGTAGTTCCTTACTGCCTAAAAACGTAACATGTTTAGGAGGCCAAAAGAAAAAAAAATAACTGGACACCGAAGGTTTGGGCATTACAGAAAAGTTTAGAATTGATAGGAAGCAATTCCTTTCATACATCATCTGCAAAAGCATTAAGTCATATCACCTTTTGGTATAATTGCATTTAAGCAGGGAAGTAATGGTTTAAAATTATGTAAATTTCAAGCATCACCATCAGTAGACTTTGAGCAGTGATATTTTGTTTTTCAAGTTCTTTGTTTTAAAATCTGACTTTTAGGCAATTATTATAATTATTTAATATTCCTGTTTTAATTATTTTAAAATTGCAAATTTATAATAATCGTTTTTAGAACCTTGGACTCATCCTAGGCACATTTTTTTCTGTGCTCAAACCATTAATTTGCTTCGTTTTGCGTCATTGTTTTTGGAATGGCAATAATTGGAACTTACTGCCTTCTTTCTGCATTGTTGTGTTATTGTATTATATTAACAGATCATTGTGCTTTAAAATAAGTTTCTATAAACCTGCCTTTCAAAGATGCTTAAACGAGGTAATTTAATTTCACATGAAGAATCTTCCCCTACCCTTTTCTCCAATTCCAGAACTTGGTCATCAAATGCAAATTTCTACTTAGCTGTGCAGAGTGTGAAACAGTTGTACAAATCTGTAATGTATTGCTGAATGTGGAATGCTGAAGTACTATGGCAAGGCAATGATCTAAAGATCATGAGCATAATTATGTGAATCCCTTGGAATATTTTTAAGAATTGCCGTTTGAATATTATGCTACTCTTCCACTTCAGGTTCTGCATCTTATGAACAAAATGAATCTTCCACCTCCTTTTGGACCAATTACTGTACGGCCACCCATGGTAAGGAACTTTACTATTTACAATAATCGGAACAAAAGCAATTGTGCATATAGAGCAGTGGTGGGATTCAAATAATTTAACAACCAATTCTCTGCCCTAATGACCAGCTGGGTAGGCGTGGACCAGTGGTCATGTGACCAGGTGGACGTAGCCAACTCAAAGTCACTCACGTCAATGAATGCTTCGCCTTAGCTGTTACAGTGTCCTAAGGGTTAACGGGAGAGGCAGTTTCTGTAAGCAGAGGAATAAAGATTAGGCTAGAAACAACCCCAGAATGTTTCCTTCCTGCCTTCCTTACAGGATTAGCTCTGTAAAAATGAAAAAAACAAAAGGAGATTTCTTCCAACAACCGATTCTCTGCCCTAATGACCAGCTGGGTAGGCGTGGACCAGTGGTCATGTGACCGGGTGGGCATAGCCAACTCAAAGTCACTCACGTCAATGAATGCTTCGCCTTAGCTGTTACAGTGTCCTAAGGGTTAACGGGAGAGGCAGTTTCTGTAAGCAGAGGAATAAAGATTAGGCTAGAAACAACCCCAGAATGTTTCCTTCCTGCCTTCCTTACAGGATTAGCTCTGTAAAAATGAAAAAAACAAAAGGAGATTTCTTCCAACAACCGATTCTCCCAACTGCTGAGAAAGTTATGAACCGGTTCTCCCGAATAGGTGCGAACCAGCTGAATCCCACCACTGATATAGAGCATAATTTTAATT